CAGCATTTACATTTTTTTCATACATGAATATCTTTCACTTCCAACAAATGTGTACACTTCTGATGCATCTTCGCCAGTTCATTTCAAGTTTCGTTTATTCAATCATCACTTCAATCAAACACTGAGCATAATTATCTAGAATGGAAGCAAAAAATAAGTAAATCGAGATGATTAGAACACTGTAAACAGCTAAAGTAGCAATGCAAACTGATTGTAAATTGTATAACGGTCACCGGCCCACGGTATCGACGCAGAAAATAGAGCAAAGATTTTTCATGATCTGTGTCAAATAAACAATATTTTATTCTAGTCCAAATCATCTTTACTTTAGTAAAGAGTTATTGTATAATGTACAACATGTTGATACATTTTGATGAATATTTACAGCTACGGCTTCAACTTCAAGACGTATCTAGACGAGTTTGGCCCCATAGTCGACAAAACATCACCAGTCTCCAGGGCAAGCGACTGGAAAAAGATACCGGTGTTCGGTTGAACCGGTGGAAAAAAATCGTCACTCCCGGAAGAACTACGCAAAATAACGAGCTAAACTGGAACCATTCAAGCCACGGAATGAACATAAAAAAGATGACTTCGTTGCATTTGACAATGATGAACTTACCGGAAAGCCGTGTTTTTCCCGATCGGTTTTATTGCTAACGTCGGTATTGTAATGTATTCACACAAGTCCAACCAGTGAGGCAGAAACAGCTTTTATTCATTCACACGATGTTTCATACAGGCCGCCATTACAAGAATGTCGTCATACCAGAGAATAACTTACATCACGTGTTAGGGGTCATCTCCAATGACCTACAAGTAAGGGGCGTCTCACAAATATATATAACATGAGTACAAGTATACATTACACTTCCCCCTTTTTAAGCTGAGAACTTGTACAATAGAATCTCAAAGTTTAAATTCAAATGTTCTTTGCCTACTTTAACAAAATCACAATAAACGTTAAATCCTATCATCAGAGGGGAGAGGTTACTCGCACAAATCACCCTCAAATGGATCCTCAGCATCCATTTTCCCTACTCTACAGTTTTGGTTTCACAATAGTCATCCACATCATGGATATGGGTATATTCTTTGAACTTTGAAAACATCAAAAATACATAACAGTAAAAACTCACAAATCTAAACGAACTGGTGGTTTTCTTATGCGTGTAGAAACCCTCAACATTGGTTTGGGTGTAGCAGGTACAGGCAACAACGGTTTACTAGGAGAAGCAAGTGGTTCGATCGGAATCTGTTTACTTACTAAATTTCCCCCTGAACTAAATGGTAAAACTGCTGGAACATGCATCTCTCTGTCATCATCATGTGTAGAAGGGAACTATACATGTCGCAACCTGTACTAACCCTACTTTAGATTATCTAACATGATCAGTGTGGCGTCTCAACTCACGACATTCTTCTATTCTCACTAAAATAAGAAGAAGCATCTTCTCTACTACTCTACCATTTAACCAACGTGGACCTGGCCTAAAGTTGTAGACAAACACAGTCATTCCAATTCAAACTCTCTGGACTTTGTATGCGTGTCATGCCAGATTTTTGCTTTGCTTGAGCACGAAGTACAGTTGATCGCTCATTTGGTTGTAGTAAGTCCAAATGTGTCCTTAATTTTCGTCCCATAAGTAGCTCTGCAGGCGTTTTACCTGTCGTAGAGTGTGGCGTCACTCTATATTTGAACAGAAATCTTGACAACTTTGTTTCCACACTCCCACTACAAGGCTTTTTCATTCCTACTTTGAACGTCTGAACCGATCGTTCTGCCAGGCCATTTGATCCCGGATGATATGGTGGAGACGTTAAATGGATAATACCATTTGCATTCATAAATGCTTGAAATTCACTGCTTGTGAATTGGGAACCGTTGTCCGATACCAGTGTAGTTGGTAATCCCAGCGATGAGAACAGTCCTCTCAGTTTATTTATTGTAGCTTCTTATGTTGTACTAACCATTGGAATTACCTCCATCCACTTGGAATAAGCGTCAGTCACAATGAGAAACATTCGGTTCAGGAAAGGTCCTGCGAAGTCAATGTGAACACGATCCCAAGGTCCTTTAGGATATTCCCATGGATGCATGGGCGTTGTGGGTGGTAGTTTAGCATTGATCTGGCATGCATTACAACTCTGCACAGTAGCTTCAATATCCTTGTCCAGATATGGCCACCAAACATAATTTCGTGAAAAGGCCTTCATTCGGACAATTCCAGGATGAGACTCGTGTAGTAATCTCAGAATGCGTAATTGGCCCTGTGCTGGCACAATCACTCTACTTCCCCAAAGAATGACGTCGTCTTGCACACTCAATTCTGTTTTGCGGACAAAATATGGGTTTACTTCTGATTCATCCGCCCTTATACTCGCTGGCCAACCATGATGAATAAATCTTCGAACACGTGATAAAGACTGGATCGCGGTCCTGTCATTT